TTTCCACCAGTGAATCAAGGTGATGCGCTGTCACATACAACTGCGCGCCTTGAGTCAACAGTACCACATATGGTCATTTGTGGCCATATGCACAAGGGCGGTTGCGGTGTTGTACACGGGTGTGAGAAATCCCTAAAATTGGTGCTGGAGCCGTCCAACGTACCGGTAGTGCGTTCCACGGACACGGTTCCCATTTCTTGAAAGCCACCTTCGGGACAGGTACCTAATGCGATAGCGCAGAACAACTTGTCGTCAAATGATGCTGCACTTTACAGGCTTTTTGTCACTCGAGCGCCACTGCGCTGGCAATGGCGGCGCCTAGCCACTGGTAGAAAACTGCGTATTTGTGATGCCAACTCCGATACCATTATGACACAAAGCGACGCCGTCACAGTGGTTGCAATGGCATGAAATTTTCTGAGATGCCATCAATTTGTGCCAAATGGGTCGCCGTTAGCATCGCGAAAGGCTGTTTTCTACCGGTGTGCGGCGCGCCCACCGCGCTCCAACATGATGCTTGGTGCGTATAGGCTGTGCTACTGATTCTTCCACCTTTGAGAAAAGAGGCGGCGTAGCTTCCAAAGATTCCCGTGGTGGCCTAATTGGTGAAGGAGCAGTGCACTTTACGTTGGGCAAATGCAATCATACTATGTGATACAACCGCCGGTGGTGGACCATGCCGTACGTACGGCATACCGTGTACGGTATGCGCCTGAAGCGTCGCAGATGGTCACTTACACAGGTTCAGAGCATTGGCCGCATTCAGGTGGTGAGTTTCAAAGTTGGGCTACTTTCTGCTTTTTACGGTTTGGGTTTCAGGGGACCTACTTGCACGCGAAAGAACACAGCCCTTTCTCCTGTTGGCACCTCACGTAATCAGGGTGGAAAACAATACCCACTTGCTATGAATTGCGAAAGAATCACCTGAGAGGCGCCCGAATTCGCCAGGAGGCCCCGCGCGCAAACGCGACATCGGTTTCTGGCCCGATCGCTGCCTGCTCCGCGCCATGAAGCGGCCCTTCCCATGCCCTGGTGCCCGAAGATCGATTTGTGCATGTCTGTCTCCGGCAACCAGCCCACGTAAAACGCTTTCTTTCTTTTGCAGAGCCCCGGCCGCGGTCCCGTTCGGGGCACAATCGCCGGTGGGCGCCTGAGCTCCCATCGAGCCTGATCTGCAGCCCTGCAAACGAACTGGCAACGCGTTGAGACTCAGAAGTCAGACTTTTGAATGCAGACCGCGCTGAGAATCTGAGTGCGGTGAGAATCATTATGTGGGCGGCCTTCAGTTCGAGCGGCCCTGCGAGATGTCACGGTCGATGTTCTCAAGCGCCCCGTGAATCGTGCCCCCTCGAGGGCTTAGTTCGATGCAAATTGGCGGGGTTTAATCCACGTCGTGGTCCCCAGAGGGAACCCTGTGGACACAGCTTTTGAGACGCTCCTTATGGAGACTCCTTGGGACGGAAACATCTCGATGAATCTTCCACAGGCAAAGCCGGCGTGCGTGCCGCAACTCGCGCAGCTGCGACAGAGATACGAGCCATGTTGGGCGTACCTTAGGCGGACAGCGGTAGTCGAGTGCCGGCCAACTTCCGAGCGGGATTCGAGCGCAGCCTGTTCGCAGTTATGGCATGGATCTTCCGCCCCTTCGCACACGGAAACCGGCCCCAAGTTTCTCGATCAAGGAATCGCGTATATATTCAAAGCGGAACAGTGCGCGGGCTCCAGGGGCTGGCCACCCGCGCATTTCAAAATGCGGTCAATGAGCCAAATGCAACAGGCTTGTTGGCAAGGCAACAAAAGCAACAAGCCAAGGGCAACAAGTCTGTGCTTGAGCGGCCAAGGGAATTCGTCCAATCGGATGAAAGCAAGGTGCCGACAGACACGGTTGTGAAGGGAGGTCAGGCCCCCCGCTCCGCATGTGTGGCCTACCCGGAGCTTGGGTTCTTGCGCAACAGCTTGCCCAGTGGCCGGAATTAAGGCGGGAGCGGTGACAAGTATGCTCCCTTGCGGACCCAAAAGACGCAATTGGCATTGTCCAGAAATCGCGCCAAATTTTTGACGCGCCATCGGTGGATGCTGTGCAATCACCGTGCTCTGATAGGCTGTAGTTGCCAAGGCTCCATTGTGCGAATTCTGGAATCTAATTTCAAAAGGTGGAAGAGGGCGACGAAGCCGACAAGCCAAGACCGCAAAAGGAAGACAAAAAACGGGATCAGACACCAGACGCCTTGACTAGCGGCTCATGTCGCCGATAGCCACTTGTCACTTATGCACACACTGCCACGCTTTGACAGAAAACCTTTTTCTCTTTGAAAGAAGAGGTTGTCGCGGTTTGCACTAATCGCGTCTAAATGTCCGCTGCAGTCTATATTTCCTTTCCCTTGTGTCAGCCACTCTTAATATTGATATCAGGACCAAGATGAAAAACCAGGGTGGGGCGCTGGGACGGCAGCCGGCGGCTCTGGACCCCGATGGGACCTAGTTATGCAGGCCTTGAAGCAAAACCTGAACGCTGCACTTTTGTGTCCGCCCTGGTAGCAATTGGTGCAAGGAATATCTATTTCGACGTCGCACAGTGGTATCAACAACTGCATGAGTGGTTACATCATATGCTGCTTTGAGGCTCCACTGGACCACTGCTTTGAGGCTCCTGATCCGAGTTGAGTAATACGCCAGCTCCTTGAATCGCTCGAACGCTGGTGCATTGGACAGCCCATTGGAAACGTGGAAATGTTTCATTGAGGATTGTCCGATACCTATCGTTACCGTGTGAAGTTCATGAAGGGGTCATGAATTCATGGGCACATGAATCACGCGCCTGAATTCACGACCTTTTAAGGTCATGAAGGATACTAGGGACCTAAAGTCCCAAAATCTAAACAAACACCCTAAAATCCCAAACAACAAAAATGACCTTCAGGCCCTTTTAGGACTTCCGTGAATCCATGAATTCATGATTTCAAGACCTTCATGACGTCATACCTTCATGACTTCACGTCCACAAATGAAGCACACAGGACACTTGCGCTTTCATTGGGAGTACGCATTATTTCGAGCGGCGCCGTTCACAGCATGATTTGGCGTCCGCGCAGTCCCTTGGAAGCTCAACAGCTGCAACCGCGATCTCCAGCTGGCCTGCAGGCAGAGGAGCGACTGAACACAAGAGAATGCGTCAAGCGAGCGAGGCCAGCGACAGACAATGCCACAAATCATCTGGTATGGTCGCGATGCACAATTCAGCCAGCTTCTCTATGTGGTTAGACGACCTCTGGGCACAATAGCATTGCGCAGACATTACACAGGGGGGCAATGCTGATATCCATCGCATCGAGTGCGACTTAATACCAAGTGGGACGTGCTACCAAGTGTGACGTAATACCAAGTGTGGCGCAATACCAAGTGTGACGTAATACCAAGTGGGGAACGCGCCCTGTGCTTGTTTGGTTTCTTGTTTATGCTCTTGTTCACCAATGAGCTACCACCTACGTGCTATCACCATTGTAGTATTATCGTGTTCACATCTCTTTATGTCATCCCCTGCCTTCGTTTACCTTCCAGCGCCAATCTGTACATGTTCCTATTTGGCTCCTTGCCGCAGCTGCTTCCACCCACCTTCGGGAGTACATTTCTTTGAGGTGTGCTTTTGGAGGCTTTCCAGGGCGCTGGGGGTTCCACAAAATTGATCGCTTGGGCGCGCCACGGACGGTTTGGAAAGCAAAATAGCCGTCGCTGCATATCACTGGAGCGTGGATCAAGGCAATGGCAGTGGCCACAGATAATCTTCTACACGCATTTCCAACCGAGAGGCACGATTGCACTCAAGGCCTGTGAGTGCCAGCATGGAAGGTGGCGCCCAGGTTTGGAGGTGGTCACGGGAGCAGCTAGGCACACAGTGTCGTAGCAAGTAGCGTAGAAGGACATTGCATCGCAGGCACACTCCACTTCTCAGCACGATCATCCCCGCCAGTTGTCCATGTTCAGCTCTGGCCCCAGCAGACGAAGTTTCTGCAATGCCGCCGTCATCTCATGTGGAGCGGCTGACTCCTAATGGTCTCTGCTCCAGTCGGCAAGATGGACAGCGCAACACTAATGTTGATGGATTCGGTTCATCGAATACTCGTTTCCGCCATCAACGAACTCTCCAGACACAATACAGATTAATTACATCCAATCTGTGCTTAAATGAATGGCCCCTTGGGCACTCGACATCCCTGTGTTTCCCCTGTGATTTCAACACTCTCAGAAGAACCCTGTCGACGGTCATGTTGTTATTCATCACATGTCCCCGGCATTAACAGCACCACCGTGGCTCGTCAGGCCACTGACACCCTCCAGAGAGGCACTGCCATTATTAGGGGCCATCGGGTTCGCCATTCTCATATGCCGTTTTCAGCACACACATGCACACACACACACAATCACACACAGTGTCGATAAGCATGGGCCATCTGTGCCGCTGTGCACCCCAGTCCACACACTCAAAGAATGCTACAGCCCATTCCTGCTGATGTTGCCAAACAAGCCCCTGACCTGTGTATCTCCGTATTCTCTCTGCCCTACAGTCTGCCTGGCCTCCAGTATCTGCTTTCCTACTGGCTACCCAAACGGTGCAACAAATACATTGCCATGTGGGCACCACTTTGTGCGATCCCAAGCTCACACGACCTATCCACCTTCCTCCTCACCTCCACATTTTCTCCTTGCAGAATGAGCGATGTTTAGTTTCTCCTGTTCCCAAAATTGAAAACGTAAATCCAAGGGGCTGCAAAGTTCCAGCAGAGGATGCTCCAGTAGCCCGGTTGGCTGTGTACCAGCTAATACCATAATCTGACAAGGAGCCAGGGTCAGATTTCAATCACAGCCATTCACTCAAGGGATCGTGGTGTCCGCAATATTACCCATCGTCCAATCCGCGGCATGCCATGATCGAAGGGGTCCCCAAGTTCCTAATGATCTGCCCTATATCAGCTGCCTGCATTGCGGCAAGGTGCCTGTGCGCACTACTCCAATTGGAATGGAATCACAAGCTGAAACTCTGCCATTAGAGATATGTGATCAGAAGAATACCGAGCATTTGGCAAACCCGAATCCCTTGAATTGCCCCGCACCACTTCCTCCTCAGATGGCAGCTCCAGAAGAGCTGTGGGCGTCAAAAGAGTCGGGGTGAAAAATATGTAGTCCAGCGTGCCCCCATAGTCACGCCTCAAATTCGTGAACAGTGGTTCGTGTGTCCTTGGGTCCATTCGCATGGCCTGCTGCTGAACAGCGAGGTCTTTTGCATTGCCAGCAAACACTGCAGAGTAGGAACTGCGCAGTGACAGCTGCAAAGCACAGGCAACCACACAGATTTCAGATCCGCATACTGCACCGAATCGCTCAAATGCACTGACATGGCTTGCATTCGGCATGGAGCCATACCAAGTCAAGATGTGCTTTGCATAATTGAGGCATAAATCTTATGGACAGAAGAATATGCCTGCAGGCTCATCCAGCCCCTGAGCTTCCCCAGAACTGAACGTGGCATGGAAAAACAGTGTACATGGACTCCTTTGGGCACCAACGCAGCCATGTACTCAAATGGCTTTGTGAAGCAAAACACGTCACCATGTTTAGTGAACAGCGACCTCCTTCATACACAGACATTCTATTAGTCAGGTAATTCAGGAACAGGAAAAGGGACACTTGCCCAGCAATTTGTTAGGAAGTCACTCCTGCTGTAGAACAGACTGCTTTCTTGAGCAGCAACAAGCTCTCCAGTACAACACCCCTACCCTTGCGTTTGCAGCTTCCTGACTATTAATTCAGCTCAAGGTATGCATGTGAGCAGGCTGATGTTTCCACAATTGCTTCCATGAAGACAGCAAGGTAAAACTTGTCCATTCTGATCATGGTCACCAGATGCTTGGTTGCTGGGGACAGCCACGCTGCTGTTTCCTGCAGTCAAATGGTTTTTTGCATGGCTCGAAAACTCCGAGCGGCTTGCTGCAGCTGTGGGGACCTTTTTGTTCCTTGCCAAGCACAATAACTCCCTCCACCATAACACCGGCCTGGGTGGTATGCAGCGATGATGCACGTCGAGTGGCATGTCAGCAATGGATGCCAGACGGTCAATTTCCCTGACGAAATGAACCCATGAAAAGTTTATCCCATTGCCAGGTAACCCCGACCCACTACTGTACCTTGTGCTGCACAGGGAGGAGCGTTTGGAGGAACTGAGCTGGATCGTGAGCAGTTTCCTTGGGCAAAGGCACAAACAGTGGTTCAGCAGCGTGCCAAAGCATGATGTGACAAAAATCACAGCTCAGGCCAAAGGCACGCGGGTCCTAGACGGCACATGACCCTCGATGGCTGCCACTTACTCCCCATAATCGCAGAATAACACAGCCATAACCACAAACACTGCCCAGCTCTTTCAGCATGCTGGATAAACTCTCTATTTGCTGCAGCTGCTCAACTGGACTGCTGCTCCCTGCACGGCATGTCCAGCTTTTCACATGTCTCTCAGTACCGTGATCTGCAAAGTCTGTGAGCGGCCCGTTGTCCGGAGCTGCTAGCTGTTGGCATTGTTGCATGAACACAATGCTCAGTGTGACTGCACTGGTGGAAAGTGCCGGCTCCCATAGTTGGATGGGATTCCAGGCAACAGAAACACTGGCGACTTACTAGCTTGGCAGAAGATGGAACACAACTCAACTATGAAAAAGAACACAGTTTTATGAACAGCACCATGTTAGTAAACAATGCACAAATAGAGCCAATAGCAATGAACACTACTATACAAAGAATACCTCGCACCACTCCATAAACAAAAACAGCCACCTCACAGCTGGCTAAACTCGGCTCCATAAGTTACTTGCAAAATAAGACATCAGTTGAAAAGAAAAGGAAGCAAGCAGATTGCAATGGAGGGGTGCACAACTGGGTCCTCACAACCGTTGCCCAAAAGCAAAATTCGAAACTTTGCAAGGGGCTCCTGTTTCTTTGTTTGCATGGGCGCACACGCAGGCTAACTTCCATAACCACACCTACCGGGTGTGTCTTGTCAATAGATCCTGTGACCATGAGCGTGTGGGCAGCACTTCCAGGTTCACTGTTGAAATCGCCAGCCACAATGATCGGAATGTCGGCACTACACGAACAGCACAGCAACCAAAGTCAGTCATAGCTAACACTTGCAAACGGCTGCCAGACACAACAAAGGCGGTGTTGTTGATGCAAGGTGTCGGGCGCTCCCATATTCTGATGTTGACCATATTGATATTGACTCAATATCAGTTCTGCAGCTCTGCTGGCTCTGTGACTGATGCAATGGCAAGCCATTTCGTACGTCTTACAAGAAACCCTGACAGCATTCCTGGATTGAACTGGCAGCTGCTACACACAATAACGAACACAATTGCTACACCTTCTCGGCGTGCGCCAATACACCTTCTTTCTCCCTTCCTACTTGTTGGAACTTGGGGAAACCTGACGTGCAATTCCACTAGATCTTTGCGTATGCGACACAGCTGACCATTGCACATACAAATGTTCTTGAATGCCCCAACTAGCATGAAGGCACTTTCATGTTCATGCATGGATTTGCAGAATGTGTGCATTTTACATCTATGTGCAAACATGATGTCTCGTTCAAAACACTATCCGTATTGCTATGTTGACTAATGTGAACAGAACTGGAGATACAAACTGAGATTCAGCAAAGCCCATCCACACAGCAACAAGTGACAGCCTGGTCGTCAAGGCACATTGAATGCACTCAAGCACATGGTTCAACACCTGATGAGTAAAATGGAAGCGCATTGTGCTGAACTGCCTGATCTACCTTGCTGCGATTTTCTCCAAACCCTTTAGCAGCGTGTGGACCTGCCAGAGTTTGACGTCTGAATGCTCTGGATTTGCATGTATGTGCGTGTTCGCAACACAGATGAGCTGCTTTTGGCGGGCTGCCATGGGTGCAACAGACTCGAGGACAACAATCAATGCCACGTTGTCCTGGGCACACAGAAAATCAACAACAGCTGTACGCGCAGCAAGCAAAAGCAGTTCCGTTGTTCATGATCTGCTCTTCAAGCATCTACCTACCACCTGACAAAAGACCTGCAGTTCACCATCACTACTCGAGTCTGCATCGTGCAATAAAAAATCAACCTCACGCTCAAAGCTGGAGGTACTAAACAGCATTCCTGAGGCATGTGTATATCCCATGTGGGGGACATTCGGCATAAATGTGAGCAAAGATCGCAACCTATCGGCAGGTCAAGGATGTTGCAACCAGCTTGGTTGGAAGCAGCACCAGTGTTGCACATTCGTATTGACCTTGGTGAAAGATTATGATGCATCCAGCAACTGTGATACTGATATCTTGTGCACCAGCTTCCTCCATTTGGTGCAAATGAGCCTCATTGTTGCACAAGCTATTGCCTTACTGAAAGCAAACTTTGGCCTGTGAAAGCTTCTTTCTGCCTTTGATACTATGCATTCACATTCCTACCTTGGACAGCCTGTTCAGCGCAGCATTTCTCTGAGGTTCTGGAAAATGATTTGCAGTGGACATGGCTGCCTTGTTGAACTCCACCTGCAAACAGCACAGTGCAAAGCACATTGTTGCATGTACATAAACTCACTCGGCCATTGCCAACGTATCTATAGCTCTGACCCGTGTACGACTTTGCCAATAAACCTGACCATATATCAGCTTACGAGGGTCCAACAAAATGCCTACACATTAGAATGCTAGTTCTGCACCAGGAAATGCCAAAATTGCACAGGCAGATATTCGATCAAAAGACAACAACCTGCTTGATCCCCTATCATTTTGCAAACAATGCCAATCGGTCTAAAGCAAACCAACCAACAAAGCAACTTCAACTGCATCCACAACAACCAATTCTGAGCTACACTATCCCATTTAGGCACCCAATTGCCAGCCCAATTCTTCTCAGCACCAATGGCCATCCAAGTTTTAGAGCAATTAAATAGTGGCAACAACTGTAGGGTTCAAAGCATCTGTACAAAAACAATCGAACCTCAGATGTGGCAGAGTTGCGTACCTCGTACTTCTTGATGAGGGCGAACCTGTCTCTCCTGTAGAACGTCGCACACCCATCAATGGCCATCTCCCTTCCGGTGTACACCTCTGTTGTCTTCTTTTTGAAGACCCCAATGTATCCTAGCTCTTGCATCGCATCCCTGACGTGGTCCTCATAGTGGTCACTCTGGACCTCCTGCAGGCAGACGATGTCCGCACGATAGCAAGCCAGCTCCTTGATGATGTTCTGCCTCCTGTAGTGCCAGGACAACGCCCAAGCAGGGCAATACGTGCCATACACGTCCCCCTGCATGAACAAAGGGAACAGTAAACAACCAGCAAATCAGCAGACTGTATATCAGCAATGAGGAAAGCATCCATGTCTGTGGTCCCCTCAGTGCATTGTGAACACCATGAACACAAACACGTGAGTGTGCACAATTTCTGTTGCCCCATGGAAAATGGAAAGCCAGTCGTGTGTAAATGCCTCCCCACTGCCGCTCCAGATCCATCAAAGCTCATTTCCTTAAGTTTGTCCATGAACCTTGCAGCAAAGCAATAACTGTGCTTCGACCCACCGTTGCATACAGATCTGCCAAGATGTTGTACGTGAGAACCGTGAAGCGACCTTCATGCCGCAGCTTGGGAACTGCAAGGTGTCTGAGGGGAATGATGGCCCTGACGGGCGGCTGGGGCGCTGGCCGCACCCGAGCGGTGGTGCTCCCCATGCACAGGCCCCCCATGTCCTGGTAATATGGCCTGTGCGAGTCAGCTATACTGCACTCAAACTTCAGCACACACCCAACATCTTCGGCTGTGGGCACATAACATCGTGAGCGTCCAACCTGCAATGCAAGCATATGCTGCCATCAACATCCACACAATGATCTGTGACAAAACACCTTAATCTACAAGTGCAATTCCATTTTCACTGCATCTATCCTGATACCACAACTCACTGCCCTTGCGCCTGTTAGGCATGTTCTGCGCTGCTCACAACCAGAAGTGTTTGCCGTCAACCTACTGGCTGCAGTTTTCCATCCAACATCCCTACACACTGCGAGTCCGCAAGAGCGGCAGGGGTGTCATGGATAGAATGCCAAACTGCAGTACAGCAAAAAACAATGTGCTTCGTGCTGTAGTACATCGACTTGGGCTTGAGGTGAAATTGCAATGTATTGATAAAAGCAATCCACGTGCATGTAAGAATTTACACATTCTGCCCCAAGACACACTTGCCTGCCAAAGTCAACATCCCCAAACTCTGGTTCTGCAGCTCTCCACTAAGTTAATCTCACCTCCACCCACTCTTCATGGCTGCTGCTGTTCCTGTAGCTTGAACCATTCGAGGCGTAGCCATTCTCCACCCCTGGCCCAAAACCGCGCATGCATCAGTTTCTGTTGTTGGCGATGAGCTCCATAACAGGGTAATGAATCACATGACTGTGTTCATTACAGCATATCCCTGCTGCAGCCAGGCCACTGTGGTGGGTGGCATACAGGCTGCCATCGATATGGAAGGTACAAATGCAATGGCAGAACTGGACAAGTGCAGTACACACTTGCGTGGATGGACATCAGGCAGGCAGACATCTTGAACTGGGCAGCAAACAGTTGGCAATACAATGCGGGCTACAAGCAGAATCGTTTGCTGTATAATCAGCAATGCCCGAATACTCTCTCCTGTTCCAGATGTTGACAGATAGGAAATGGTAATTCAAGTGTTCACATTTGCCAAGAATCTTGCAAGCAAGCGTTTTCACTAATCTCTATGTTGGGCACCGTTCCCAGAAACAAAATAGAATACAAGCATTGCCAATGTTCCCTCGCCCACCAAATGGGCCAGCTACCACATGATGCCCCCCTCCTTCGTCTAATAAAGGATTGTTGTTGAATTCTCTGCAGACCTGCAGGTGAACATTTCAAACAAGTCTCCATGTCCGAAGGAGCTGATTTCAAAAGTAACCATGTCCTGCAGGAGATGACTTTAAAGAAGTCACCGAACACAGCAGGAATAACATGGACAAAAACATGCCACCTGTTGAGCGAATGCCATGAAACTGGCAGTGCGAATAATTTTGCTTTGTGGACGTCCAGAAACATGGAATGGGCAGAAAAGTGGGAGGACCCAGGGATGCATCACTCAACCATACTCCCTCTCGGAGAAAAGGGCCAAAAGGAAGCCACCAGCTCCTTCCGGACTCCCCAAGGGCAGCATGAACAGAAGCAGCCACAAAGCTGCCCCACAGAGGGCTTGAGCAGACGACAACGGAGGCACCCATCACCCCATCATTCACGAAACAAAAAGAGGGGACGAGACAGAGACGAAACAAGCGGGGTAGGAAGGAGCGCCCGCCGCCCTCCGGCGCACCTCCGTTCTGGTACTGCCTGAGGTGGTAGTCGTCCTTGTGCATGCGCCAGTGCTCCTTGAGGCACTCCGGCCCGCAGTGGAAGCTCAGCGGCGCCGGCGCGTGCGCGCGCAGGCACAGCAGGCACTGGATGGTGGCTTCGCGGTCGGGGTGCACGCTGCACACAGCGCTGCCGCCGTGCACCATCGCCCTGAACCACCGCGACCGCAGGCGGAACCTGGCCCCAGACTCCAGGCACCCCTCGTCAGGCACATGGCACGCCGTGCCCGGGCCGTCGCCCTCCTTAATCACGATGTAAGGCTCCAGCATCACGTCGCAGATGGGCGCGTCGCCCGTGGGCACTTGCGTGCTCACGATCGTCAACGCCATTTCTTCCACCGGGCCCACACTGCCCCCACCGGGCCGCCAACCAAAAAATGGCCCTCCTGGCGCGCCGCCGCCCGCCGCTGTGGCTGAATCCGATGTCGCCGCTCCCTACGCTCATCACCCGGCCGGGGCTCCCCTGCCGGCCAGCGCGATGCGAGCCGATGCCGCCGCTGGGCGCAGAAGGAGGGCTCGCCCGGACAAGCACCTCCCTGATGCGATTGCTCGCCAAAGGGCACGGAACAGGCCTCCAAATGCGCCGAACAGCGGTCTGATGACAGCGGAGTGGCTCGAATTGCGCCGCAAAGGGAGATTCTGCGGAGCCCTGGTGTCTGCAAGCAAGCCGCCTTGAGGAGCCCAAGATAAGCGTCGAGGGTCTGGGAAGGGACGATGACCAACGGGGGGGATGGCAGGGAGCGGGGTGGTTCGCCTTGCGTGGCTGGGCCGGCAAGTTGGGGGGAGAGGCGTTCGCGGACGTGCGGTCTCAGAAGCGGAGGGCCAGCCGGTCGGCGAGGGGTTTGCAGGCGGGCAAGGGCGACGGCGTCCCCGGGCAAGGGGACATTTGCGCTTTTTTGGACGGTACCTTGGCGGCGTGCGTCCATCGTGGGGGCGAAGTAGCACCCGTCGAATGCGCAAGGCTGCTGACGCGGCCGGCACTGGGCCCCGAGTTGTGATCAATGGTTGCCACTGTTTCACTGTGTGGGTCAATTATTTTCATAGCTAGCGATTGCTCTGGAGCAATCTCTAATGCAGGTCTTGATTAGAAAAGAGCGTTTGATTTTACGAGGGATGGCTTGAGCAAACCATCACTGCGATAGTTGTTGGAAATGCTCGTAGACTAATTCGATAGAGGTCTGGATTCGTTTGGCATGACTTGGCTCACAGGACGCCTCTTCGATCACACTTATGCTGTTTGGGTCCCAAACTTTGGGACAGCGTGAGTTTCTGCGGCAAACTCTGTGTACTTCAGAAAGAAAGCTTGCAAATACCCTTATGTTTGGTGAATTGTGTTTCCATTATAGACACACGAGTTGATGTCTGTGCCTAGAAACATCACAACCGAAAGAACATCACTTTCAACAGGCAAAAGGTACTGCTGGGTTGTAAACCCTTCCGCGTAGTAAGGTAACGTTTGGCTATCTTGTGGGGAGAAAACAATAAAATAGACAACGTTATTTTGTTAAAATTTGTGCAAAGCCACGTAAAAGAAATAAAACCGACGCTCTTGAAAACAAACGCTGCGCAAAAAGCGTAACTTTTAAATTTTTTGTGAAGGTATTGAATATACTACAGTACGTGTTGGTCCAACATGGGTACCTAACTTCGTGATCATGAATGTGGTTTGGTCAGGTGGGGATGACTGTTGGGGCTGCGCATGTGATTGCACCTAATGGAATGGTCTGGCAGCCATGAGCGAGGGACATTTGATGGGACATCTCTGGTGAAAACAGAATAGAAGGGGGAACATTGGATTCATGCGGACATATTCTAGATTGCCAAGGATTTGAAATGGCTCGCAGAGTTTGAGGGGGACATCCAGTACTTCTGGAACTCTCCTGGAACTCCTATGACAGAATGCATGAGGGTGCACCTGCCTTTAGGCGAGAATGTTGCTCTATATGTGCCTTGTTTGGAGCAATTATCAATCAAACATAGTTAGATTCCATTGTAGCAAGCGAGCGCTCTCATGCTGCCCTAGTCTGTGTGATCTGTTGACATCTGGTGAACGATCGGCTCTAAATCCGATGCTCAAGATCTTGAACAACCCAATCGATTACACGAGTGGTGTCTCGTCTTTAGCACGCGCTGTATGTCGTGGAGGAGTGTTCGATCCCGGGAAGTGCTCAAGGGGCTGGATTGGCCTGGCCGGATGACCCAGCGCTCTCGGTTTCTTGGCCCACACGCTTGCCGATTCTCGCAGCACAGCGAATTCCGGACGTCTGGAGGGCAAGACATCTTTCTCAATGATCGCTCGTCTGGCCCGTGGCCCGCGGACTGGCGAATTCAGCAGCAATAAGACACTTCCATTCACCCAATATGGTCTCGAAATGGAACAAGGTGGCACTGAACAGAGCCGTTTTTCCGGCTCGCCAAGTGTGTCAGCAACAGCCCAACAAGTGCACGCCGTGTAGCCACACGTGCTGATCTGTGTCGTGACCTTCCTGTTGCGTTCGTGTTTTTGCAAATGCAATTCTCCATGAGTTGAGGAGGGCTCACGAAAACAGCTGTCCAGGAGGCGGACGCCAAGATTATACCGGAATTTTTTTTTTGTTGACAACGAATATTCTGAAAGCGGGAAAGCGGGCGGGGCATGATCTTCGCACATGGCGCATCGTGATTGGCTGGCTCCCAACAATTCAGCACTGTGTGAACACGAAATGAATTTCTGTTCTCTTGAAGGAAATGCCGTTGATGCGATTCAAACGGCTCCCTTTGGAGTGCACACGGGAAGCGCGAATCCACGATCGCCGATGCTTCAACGGGTTGGCGCACGGCCAGACGCAAGGCCACGCCACACACAAAACGCCCAGGGCTTACATATTTGTTCACCCTTCCCACAACGAAGAGCCTTGCCGACGGCGGCAACGACCCCCGTAGCCGAACAGCTCGAATTACCTTGCACCTACAGAACTTTCCTTTTCATGTGGCAAGGATCATCATCCATCATCAACCAGCCAGAATGCCTTGCAAACTATATTCTCGAAGCGCGTACAAGTCGCCCACCATTACGCATAAGTGACCCACCTAGTGAAACGGTGGTCATTATGCGGTGTTGCGGACAGTTCGGAATGGAAATGTTGGTCTGCCTGTGAGCCAAGTTTGCCAACAGCGGCCAGTGGCCTGCAGGAGAAGACCACCGCAGCTGCCCCTGCGATGCGCGAACCTCAGTCGCTCCCCTAAGTGCCGCCTGGGCGCTGGCTGAAGCAGACGCACCCCAACAGCTTGTGCATTGGCACAGCGGCTGTCCAAGCAGCTCGGAGGCCCAGCGATTACTCACTCGGACGCCTCGCAATCTCGCGAGGCGTGAGAACGGACAGGAATATGGTGGGGCAGTGGGCGGCTCAGAACTCGAATCCATTCATGGGTTGATCAGCGGGATTCATGAATGGATCAGGACCGGAATTGGGTCTCTTGGAACGCCAGGTGGATGAAATAGAGGTGAGAGGGGTTGGAAATCCAAAAGCGCCGCAACTACCATGCTGCTGCACCTTCTGTTGGTGGCCTTTTCGCTGCTGGCACTTGTGCGTCAAAGAGGCTAATTCCGCGCCTTGGCGGTGCCTACCGTCATCTGGTCGGCCCGACCTATGCCGACGTGTTAGTGCTGTATCCCACGCGTGGGCCGCTCGCATCTACCTTCATGAATGCCATATGTCACATGTTGGGCAATCCCGCCAAAGGAAGATTGTAGGCAATTTAGGAAATAACGTGTAATCCTCATAGTCCAGTATAATGCTCACAAGGAGCAGTGAAGCTGATGGAAATGCGATTGGCAGCTTGCTGCATGTGCAGTGCAGTGCATGGGCAGGAAAATGGCTGGCCTGGAAGAATGCCGCCAAGAACGTAGCGAACACATGTCGGCCCTTCATCTTGGATTAGTTGTACTGGGAATGGTGCAGGAGGGTCCCGCCATGGTGTCCCAGACAGTTTGTTAATATCCCACCAAGATGGGCATATCCAGAGCACCACCAGTTTTCTGTCGTACCAGGTGACAGACAGTATGGTCCTTGCCATCTGTCGGCCAAGTCGTGGCCGACTCTTGCTCCTGTTGGCGATCTGTGCCTCGGAGGAGTAGACGTTGGGCGTGTTCATTTGCCTTCAAGGGATAAGGTCTTTATCAGGACTTGTTGAAAGATGCATCAATGAATGCTAATCTTTTGTGAATCTGATGTCTGTGTTTCTCAATCATCTACACAACGCAGAAATCAACGATTCCTAGTTGCGATTCTATTCCACATTCATATATGACTCAGATATCTCTGAGGGATCCAAGTGAAAACCCCCTGGTCCTTTTGTCCTTGATCCTTTGCATCAAGATTCTGAGAATTGAAGCTCTGCACAGCAGTGGATACAATGGCTGTGAAACAAGCCATTTTCTGTCCAGTTAATTGGCCATGTTGGACATGCACCCACCTGGGGGATCCAAGCAGTGCTGCGGCCTTTTCTGCTCAAATTGTAGTTCCTGCAGTTGTTAGCGTACTCTATGTCCCATTGCTAAAGTACTAAAGAGAGGACGGCTTCAGTGAGTAGACTACAGCTTGAGTTCAAAGTCCCAAACTGGCCTGTTCAGAAACAGTTGTGCACTGGTGCTGGTGGCAATTCTGCACATGCCTTTGGCTGAGCTGCTTCTCTCCTTTCCAAATCCCTGACCAGCCGACGGCCACATGAGGAAATGGGCGAGTGACCAAGCTGCCAAGTGAGGTAGGGCTGAGGGCAGTTTGTGCTTTCCAGGCACTGCTGGCTACCTTCCCAGAGGAGGGAGGAGTCCAATTTTCCCCAGCTGAGTTGGCTACACTCGAATTGGCCCGGGAAATGGTGGCTGGTGGGGGAGACACACCCAGGACTGCTGTTGGCCTCTTGAGTGGTGCTGTCTGTGTGCCAGATGTCATCATTGGGGGTGCCCCAGTGCTCCTTCGATACACTCTGGTGGAGCGGTACCCAGACACTCTCCCCAGGCTGACAATTGAATGCTCATCCTCCAGGCATGTGCCGCCTTTCCTGGTCACTCCTTTTGCTGCTGTGACAGTTCAGCTGGCAGGAGTCCTGCAGTGGCACGTGGGGTTGATCATTTTGGATTTGTTGCAGACGATCACATAATGATGACCTCAATGGATTTGTGCCTTGCAGCATTTGGCGAATTCATGTTTCTGCCTTGGACTGTCACTGGCCTTCAAAGCCACTGTCCTGCTGGCCGTTTTCGCAAAGCATGTTGTCAAGTTGGCCAGTCAAGTGGATGCATCATGGTTGACCCTGCTGCACCACATCCAAACGTTCCACCACCTGCATTG